GTTACTCACAAAATTCAGCAAGTACAAGATGAGATGATTGCGATGGATCTACAAATGTCCATGGCCGAAAAGGAAAGAGATAAGGTGAAGAAAGAGAACAAAGAGCTGGTGGACAGATGGATGAAGAGGATGGCACAAGAAGCAGATGCTATGAACCTCGCCAACGAACCCATATTCGAAAAGGGTCGATAGTTAAGGATCCATGAGGTCAAACGAAGCAGGTCGAACAGAAACGAGCCACGATGTCACGAGAAAAAAAACAAATACTATATGGAGTATCCTGTAAGTCCGAACATACCCTTATACCCCACGCTGATGTAACCGTCTGCCCTATCCCTGTTTCTCCAACACCATAATCTCTGCCACTGAGTGCTTATGAAGCTCTATAGTCTACTTACGCGTCGAAATGAAGTACGATCCTCCTGCATTAGTCCAACTCACATAACCCTCAGGGTATGTGCACTCTTCCACCTCCAGGATGGTGCTGCCAACGTCGTTGATGTTGTGGTTGTTGCTTTTTTCCGCGACAAAGGATTTGAGCGACACAATCTTGCAGCCCGATTTAAGATCCAGGAACATACGGACCAAGTCATCGTTTAGCTGCGAGGTGAAGGCCTTGTTGTTTACAAGCACAACATCTGCCCGCTTGAGGGCCTCATGGATGGGCAAGTTCTTGCGGAAATCGCCCCGTTCCAGGTGAACCTTGCCAGGTCGAACTCCCCAGAGCATGCATCGGGCATCAAACTCCTTCTTTTGCTCCTCGGCAAGATTGCAAGCATTCTCCATCATCTCGCAACCCCAACTCTCACAACCAATCTCGAGGGCCGCTTGCAAAACTACATTACCAACACCTGAGCCGAGATCGACGAAGACCTGACCAGAGGTCATTCGTGTCTGCTCTACCAAGATCTTAGAAATGAAGGGGTGGAGTAGTTCGCCATAGACATAGTCGGTTCCGTTCTCATACTTTGAAAGAAGCTCCACCTTGAGAGCCACTGTTCGGTCATAAATTTGATCCAGAATGAAAGCCACAAGGTGCTGGGGGAGTTCATGCATCTTATCGAGGTTCTTGGCAATTACACCGTCCTCGACTAGAGCACGAAGCTTTTCGTTGTATTCGCGCAGAGCTGCCTTGAAACCCATCAAATCCTGGATGTTCCGGTTGGAGGCCTTTTCCAGTCTTCGAATGATACCACCATTAGGATTTGTGAAAGGCTCTGCTTCCTCTTCGGTAAGGTATGTTTCGGCAACGTGGCGAACCACCTTGATGCTAGCTTCGACGGCATCGATCTTGTCTTTTCCCCATACTAGCTCATACCTGTAATCATGTCAGCATTGGTTTTGCAGGTCGGGGTCGCCGGGAAGACTCACTTTTCTCGAGGTTGTAAGCTGGGGTATTGTAGTCGGATAGCCACATCCTCCTTCTGTGCGCCCATCACAGGCACACACTTGTGCTCAAGCGAGGCCACGTCTACAGCATGGATGAAGCTTCGACTGTCCATCCGATCCTCAAAGGCTCTTACGCTTCTCAGTTTGCGGTTAGGGTCAATAAAGCTGCCGTCTTCCGTGCCTTTGCGTTGTCTCTTGGTATCGAGAGTCATCCACCCATCGTCTTCGCCATCACTGTCTTTGTCGAACTCGATACGGTCGCTTGCTGGTGATCGACGGGTGACGGACGGTGCCTTGCGCTTACGCTCGAGTCGCTTCTCGTCGGAAGATGAGGGGTACGGCGAGTGACTAGCCTGTCGTGCCAGTGGTTTCGGCGAGGGACGGTGAGAAGAGGAGGAGCGCGATGCCGAGCCGCTGAGTGCGGAAGTAGATTTAGGCTTAGGCTTCTGGGCAGGTCGGTCGACGACAACCTTTTCGATCCTGATCTTGGGAGGGTCGACCTTGATCTTGTTGTTCTTTCCGCCGAAGAGACGCATCCTGTATGAGTGAATAGTAGGCCGGTCCTAGTAATCCAAAAATGTCCTTCCAATTAGAGCGGCGACGGGGTCTGACTTGAGTTGGGTCACAAGTCAGGGATGGAGGGGTTCGCGGTGGCGTGTGCGTGTCGCTCCCGGAGTCGGCAATGTCGCGCAACGGGGTGGGACTAGATTAAAGAAGATGGTAAAAACAAGAGAGAAGAGTACGAGAAAAGGAACGTGAGAAGTGAAGTACGGGGAGAAGTTCCAAAAGATAAGCGGTATTAGACAAAGTATTGGGTAGGCTCTGTTGTAACGTGACTCTTCAGTATCGCATCGTGGCACTTTAAAGATAACTATGCAGAGTTCAAGTTTCGAGGCGACACTCGGCAATCCACCACAAAATGGCTGAATGGCTGGCTGCCTTCAGTTAAATGAGTGGATGCCCCGGAGCCTTACATCAGCTGGGATGGGCTGGCGCTGGGAGAGCTGGAGCCGGGGCCGTCTCGCGCTGCAGGAGGTCCCCTGGAGGAGGCCGCTAGACCCACCGTGAATGCCCTGGATTTTCCAAGGTTGAAAGAAATATCTTGACTGGTCAGAATTTTCAAGGTGGGTACGTAACGTTGGGCACGTGGGGGGTTTCCCTTTCAGCCGCAGACGGTTGCCTGGAGAGCTACCCTACAGTGGTCATGTGAATAGAGGCATTCAGTATTTTTAGGTACCTTATCGAGTCATCTATAACAAGTGTTGCATTTTCTTGTCTATCCACTACCAGGTATCTTCTGTAACTGCTATCAAGCTTGTTGTGTATAATGATGGTCTGGAACTGAAATTCGCCATAACAGGCATGTCATTTTTATTTATATGCTCAAGTAATAGTATATAATGTGAATGTTACTTCTCCATAGCAACTCCCAATAAAACCCTTAATGGCACGAACAATTATCAAATAGGTTAGAGCAATGAGTAATTGCGTTAAAAGCACCCTCTTGCCAGTATAGCTCGGGGAACCCGGCTTCTACCTCGCGGGACTCAAGATCATCGTACGTATGCTTTTCGGGCAGCTCAAAGTCAAGCATGTCGGTCTCGTCCTCCAGGTGGAAGTCCAAGGCATGCATCTCATGAGCCTTTGAGAACTGGGTTGATCTATGAAAAGAGATTAGCTATACATATCATCGACAAAGGGGTTGGGATAAAAACTTACCGAAACTTGATCATTCGCAGCCCTCTAGCACAGTGGTCAACAACAATATGGATGCCTCCAACGTCGACATGCCCGAGCTTGCTGTTTAGAAAAAGCCGTTCGGGACGAACTTTGACTGGGATCCGAATCCCAGCTACTTTTATGGCATACGTCTTTGGCTTCTGAAGGGGTGGCTGAGGGAGTGCCTGGCTGTAACAACATTCCTCGCACTCCATGTAATCTTCACCTTTGTCACCCATAAGGATTGTAAGAGCCTTTTGATGGCAACAATCAGGAACAGGGCTGGAAGCCTTGTCTAAGGTGGCACAATATGGGTTCAGGACATCGGGTAGATCATCCATACGACAATGTGCCTTATCAACCTCGATGTACTTACCCTGACATGGCAACTCATAGTTGGTACACAATGAGCACTTGAGAGGGCGGTCCTGGTTTCCAAGTTCACAGATGGGTCGTTCTCCAGTGGCCTCAAGGATTTGTCGATGGTTGAGCGTCACCCGATCACTGGCATCATTGATCTGCTGGCGTAGCTCGGCCTTAAAGTCTTCAAGGCTCTTGACGGTCCAGGTCTCGTCACAAACAGGGAGAGCCAGTTTTGAGAAATCAGGCTTCTGAGTCAAGCCACCCCTGACAACTTTTTGAATCTGACGGTTCACCATGGATTTCCGCCGAGAGTACCAGCTCTCTGCAAGTTGCATAAAATGCTCCCTGCAGAGGGTTGAGAACTCATCGTGAGGATAGGCCTGGAAGAACTCAAGGTTTCGTTGCTGTCCGATCTCTTCCCAGCTTTTCGTAAAACTTCCGCATTGGAACGACTTGGGTCCGAACTTGGACACCGTCTCTTCCTCATCTTCGCTGGTATCTTCCTCGACAGCCCCTGAACCGGCAGGAGTCGGAGACTGAGGAGGTTCAAAATCCTCCTCCTCAAGGTCTGCCAACCAGCTGAGAGTTTCAGGGCGAGTCACGGCTCTGGAAGTTGAGGTTGTTTTCCGCAGCTTGAGTGGGATCGGGCTATCGCGAAATGTGTTTTTGCGCTTGGTGGGTAGTGTAGGGAGTAATGCCCGGCTAGATTTAGGCTTGGATTTTATAGGTGCTGCAATGGGTGATTCTGGTGCTGTTGATCTGGCGGGGGTCATCAGTGAAGCTTCAGAAACGGTTCGAGTTTGCTTGGTCTTCGATCTAGTACGAGGTGGTGAGATAGCCATGATGATGATTTGTGTATACGACTGTTGATGTTTTGAACTCTGTGTTGAATTGCCATATGGAGCATGTTGAGTCTCTTATATTCAAAGCTATGAACAAAAGCTTGGTGATTCCTTGATCCTTTGCTACGTTGTTCACTGTCATTGAAAGAGCCCATTCAGTTCAAACAAATATGACTCTCTACTGGCCATTCTTTTATTGAACATAGGCCCCTGAATGAAGAAAACAGCGCTCATAGTAAAGAGCATAAGCTCTAACAAGCAGCAAGACACATTGTGTCAAGGCTCTGAACCTCTTGAGGGTATATTGCCGGCTTGGTAGTTATTTCGATGGAGTAATACTGAGGGTAATACTTCACTATGGCGTTTTATAAACGATATAAACAAAGTAACGTTTAAGTAATAAGTACAGTATTTAAGTGTTTCTAATGGTTGAAGTGAATGAAACTCGAAGGCGTGGTAGTCTGCATGCTAACACACGGAGAGCCTCCAAAGCTTCTCATGTTGAACTCATGATAACTAAAGCAATAAAATATCATAACCAACCCAGAAACAAATCTATGAGCTTTTTTCTATTTTCGGTAATTAACGTAGAATCATGAATCATGTAGGTTGATGGAAAATGTGATCATCTTTGTCGTAATTTCGTGTCAGGAGACAAAGGCATTATTGATGTTTGTAACAAAGGCGTTAAACGTGCTTGCTGTATCCGTCGTGGTGAACACGGGCTGAGAGCAAAGATTCTGTTCCTTCAGATTGAGGCGAGTTCACCAAAGTTTCTGACCAGGAAACAATTGAACTGTCACTTCTCGTGCTCAGTCGACCGTATCCATGGTCTGGATCAGCAGGGGCTGAGGTGTCGATGCGTGGGAGACGTATGGCCGCAATCTTGTGTGTAGTCTTGGAAGCTTTCGGCTTCTTGATGCTTGAGTCAGGGATAGTATAAATGAGGCCAATTGAGTTCATGTGTGCTTCAGTCTCACTGGCAGTGGGCGACATTGGGCTAATGCAAGTAATGCGAGATGACCCTCGGCTCTTTCGCAAACTGCCTAGAGACAGAGCTCCAGACAATCTGGAGTCCACGATAGTGTTTGGTGGAGTTCTGTAGATACTCAGAGAGGACCCAGCTCTTTCAACAAAGGGAACAGCCCATTTCTTAAATGTTGGGAATAACATGGGGATGTTTGTTGTCATGATGGCGACAAAGGTCTCACGAACCGCCCAAGAAGCTGCGAGTTGAGGGCCATTGATTGGATCCTTGCTGATGTTAGATGCATGTGGTGTGACTGATGGGCAGAGTTATACTTACAGATACAAGCAGCACAACTCGAAGGATAGCGGCCATGGTGACAAATAACCCACAGCTGAACAGAGCAATGAGTCCGACCTTTTGAGGCCAAGGCATAGCAGCCTTCCAAAGCATGGGCATAGGAACCATGATGAGGTAAAAGTCAGTGGCCAAGTTGAGAGCGAGACAAGTCCATATCAAAGCAGGCGAAATGGCAGCATGGCAGAAGGCTCCGGGGTCAGGGAAGATCTGCCACCAGTGGTCGAATGGGCGACAACTAAGAAGAAGATTCATCTGCACAACAACAAAAGAAGAAAGGATGAATCCAAAGCCGATGATGACCCGAACTCGGTGGCCTTGAAGGTCTTTTGTAAGTCGGTAGTAAAAAGTGCACATGGCTGCTTTGAGGATCCAGAGGAGGGACGAGTAAGTTGCCCACAGAGCGATTTGGATCTTCGAGCCAATGATACTGTAAGTATTAGCACACAGAACCAGATAGATAGAGTCATTGACCTACCGAAGCTGATATTCATGATCTTGTGGTTGTAGAGAGGCTCGTTGCTCGTTCGTCATCGAGTTGTTAGCCAGTCCTTGAGCAATATTCCCGACCGAGTATGCCAGCCCTGTTTCTATAGCGTAGATGCCCTAGTGATGTTAGCGTGATGAATCCAAAACCAGATATTCGTCACTTACAGCGGCCAAAATGACGAGATAGTCATCTGCCCAGAGGTTCCTGCATCCCACAGTCCTGATCCGCACACACGACCTCAACACGGTGACGAGCAACGCAATGCCAAGTAGCGTGAAGGCCTCTATGTTGAAGGCCTCTATGTTGAAGGCCTTGAGATTGATATCCGTCATTGCTGCAGCACTTTCTTCGGTAGACGTCTGGGGATCCACGATGAGTTGAACTACAGCTTGCATCTGTAGTAGAGCAACGACAACCACCCCCTCGGGAAGGAAACCCGTGATATAAGATTATCAAAATATATGCTCTGAAGCCAGCGGCGAATTTGTGCGTCTGGACAATCTAGTCCTCAATTTTTACTTCTGTTAGGGTCCATCTCCAATACTCCACGTAAAACTGCTCCATGTTTCTGAGTCCAGCCTCTTCATCCCTCACATGCCTCAACGGAAAAAATCAAGACCTACTAGAACATTATTGCAAAAAGAAAAACTCGGTCTCTGCAGATGGCCTCAAACCAAACGAGGAAAAGTCGAACGGGCCGTCGTGTTTCGTGGCAGAGACAAAAAAGCAACGTTTATCCACCGGGGACGCCCGGGTTCTCATTAACGTTAGCTTGTCGAAATCGTGGAGAAAGTGCCGAGTGTGTTGGAGCAAGGGTTAAGACCGTCAGGGGTCAGAATGTGATAGTCTCTCTTTTCGCAGTTGACATGTCACCGTTTGATCTGAGGGTAGTGGAGAAGAGAGACTCAGCCGCGGCTCTCGCCAAGTTTCAGCTCGTATTGGCAAATCAGGCACTCTGCATAAAAGACCTCATATGTATCGGATGAGGGAAGCTCAGCTCAGCCACCGGCCAGTTGATGTGAGGGGAAGATATCCGATCTGGTGGTGAGACACAACAAAACGTGTACAACGTGTACTCACAACATAGGATTGGGCTGGCCTGTCTTAAACATAAAGCAGGAGGGAGATAATAGTTGGTTAAGTAAGGTACGGTGTCCAAAAGAAGGTTGGGTTCTATGACTATGTGGATGAAATCCTACAGGGACCTGCATGAGAAAAACCTTGGAACTTGCAGACTGTCGACTGCCTGATGTGCTTTTGACGATTCTGGCCAAGGTGATGACGATTTAGATGCAAGTCATCATGATTCTCGATGGAATTAGAGGAGAAAATGAATAGAAGATCTCGATCGACTACTTCTACATGTGTAAGAAAAGAATAGAGACGAAGAGAAGGACGAGGAGGAGAGAGTGACTTTCAGCATTGTGTCTCAAGGACGAATGACACGGAATACCATGGAACTACCAAAACCAATAATTGAGCGAACACTTTGCAGTTTTACCTCTAGGGCGTTTCTAACAGGACTGTCTCCGGTTCACTCAGTTGATTTGTTATAGTAAAGAAAGGCTGTTACAGCTTAGGTGCTGGGAGGCATACTATCCACAACTCACCCACAGACTTATCTCAAAATTTACGTCTGTCAAGAAAAACCATGGAGTTGTGCCTGTAACAGATTCATCTGATCTCTATGCAATGTGGAAGAATCCATGTTACACTGCGGCCGATGAATACATGCACACTACAACTACCCTGTCACGACAGCCTATATCATAACATGCATAATTGTATTGCTTCTCAAACACATCTACCTCTTTAGTGTCTTTTGCTTCTCTGCGTCTGTGGCAACATTTCTTCCTTCGACAAGCAATCCCTTCTTTCTCCTCACTCCATCCATATATCGCTTCGCCACGTTCTCCTTGTCAGCCAACTCACCAAGATCCTCGAGATCATCTTCTGTGAAAGGTACCCAGAAAGGATCCTCATCCAAAATCTCAAAGCCAGCAAAGATCAGCTGTGGCTGGGCCGCACCACTGGTACGCTTACGCATCTCGTCGGCAAAACCGAAACTCTCGGCTACAGGAACCAGTGCTTGAATTGTGAAGAATGGTGTACCCTCTTTCATGAGTTCGGCGTTGACACGGCCGCGACGACGGGTAAGAACATCGTATACACGGCCGAGGACTTCTGTAGATGCTTGAATCTCGACACTGTACATGGCAAGCATGAGACGGGGAGACCAGTCCATGAAACCTACGCGAAGAGAAGATTGGAAGGTTCTGATGATCTCACCAGTAAGACGGCCAAGTTTGTCGCGTGCAGAGGAGTCGTCTTCGGCGAGGTTCAGGGTGACATCCTCGATAAAGACTGCAACGCCCTGAAGTGGCTCGCTGCACAGAGGACCCTGAGCCGTAGCAAGTTGGAAGGCGTATGAGATCTTGTCGGTCAGATGGCTAGGGTGAAGAGACTCATCAGCCCGAGGTGCAGTCTCGACAGTCTTTTCAGTAGCAAAAGCCTTGGAGAAGATACCATCTGCAGTAGCATCGACAAGGAGGTTTGGTCCAGTACGTCGAGGTCCGAAAGCCACAATCTTATCAATAGAGTCCTTCCAGATATCTCTGCCCTTTCCACTTTCAAGCTTCTCCTTAAGTTGCATCTTGAATTCTTCCACGGACAGGGTGTTTCCAGCTGCAACATCGACTTCAGCCACGATTTCTTGGCCCTCGTCGTCCTTCTTGGCCCCGCGGTCGTAGACTCGCTTAACAGCATCGCCATTCTTGACTAAAAAGTCCGTTACGTTTTCGGGGATTGGCTGCACACGGAGCGAAAGAGTCAGTTGCTTTGAGCTTGTTGCAGCTACAACCGCACCACGACCGAGTTCCTTGTTTGCAGGAGGTCGCATCTCTTCAGCTCGGACAATTGTCTCTCGGTAGGGAACAATAGGAGCACCCGGTTGAATATCGCACAGAGCAAATCGCTCCTTGAGATCAGTCAAGCATCGCTCAAGATGCAGCTCACCTGCAGTCAACAACACATGTTCACCGCTGTCTAGAAGCTCATACTCAGCACAAGGGTCGCTCTGAACGAGAAGCTTGAGGCCATGGATCATCTTGTCAAGATCGGCGGGGTTCGCAGGTTCCAGTGCAACACGAACGATAGGTTTGCCTAGCATTGTGACACCCGCGAGGTTGACAGCGCCGTCACGGCGACTGCACAAGGTGCCAGATTTGAGAATTTTGCCCTCCAGACCACCAATGCCAAAGACACAGCCGGCAGGAACTGAATCGAGAGCCTCGAGGTTTCGTCCCATGAGCATGTAGAGCGCAGTAACTGTGACTTCTTGAGGTTCAGGGGCGGCGTTTGGCTCAGCAGGTGACCATTTTGGAGGAATAACGTAGAGCTTGTCGCCGACTGAAAGAGTCCCCGAATAAATACGAGCGAAGCCGATAAGGTGCTCAGGATCAACCTTCTTCTCTTCCAACTCAGGGGCGTAATCATCAAGGTTGATAGCATCCATCGAGTCCGCCATACTGTCTACACCGTTCTCACCAGCCGCAGCCTGGGCTCGAGCGGCCTCAGCTCGCTTCTTGCGTGCAAGCTCTCGAGCCTCTTCGCCACTCATTTGGGTTCCAGCCCGTCGCTTGTTTTCGGGAAGCTCACTCTCAGGAATAGAAACCATTTTACTGACATAGGCAACCACGGGGTCAGACTTTTCATGTTTGAAAGAGATCATGGCGTCCTTGATAGTCTGGTCGATGTGCTCAGATCCTGGGGATTCTTCGATCAGCTCGGGAAGTCGTGCAGCCTGAGCGGCCGGGGGCGAAGGCAAAGATTCAACGACGGACACCAGTAGTGCTGTTGATAAGGGAAGCCAGTTTGCGAAAATTGTCGTCATAAGAAGCTTCTGGTCTCGCGACTTGAGCATGTGAGGGGTGATCTTGATTCCGAGGGACTTGGTGACCTTTTCCAGCAGATCTCGATCACCCTGCCCGTTGTCACCTCCCACTGTCGCCTGGTAGACAGTCCATACTGGCTCCAATACCAATTGCACAAATAATGGCTTCAGATTTCTTCCCTTAAGGTGCTTGGGGCCCAAGATCTTCTTCGTCTTGGGATCCAGGTAGAAGTTGCCCCATAGAACCTTTTCCATGATTCCTCGCTTAATGCCCAGCTTCTTCTCGTACATGGCAGCGAATTGTCGGCAAGTGAAAGCCCATCCATCGATGGCGCTGCTGAAAATAACGTTGTTCTTCTCGGGAGCAAAGTAGATATCTTCGTCGTCTCTCTCCTCGAATTGTACCTCGCCGGTATCGCTGACTTGATCGGCAATTGCTGATTCCTTGGCTGCTGTGGCTGCATTGACTCGCTCTTCCATTCTTTCCCTCCAGTTGAGGTCCTCCTCCATACGCTCGCCCTGAAAGAAACTTCCTAGCACAGCGTTTACCTGTTCTAATAACTTATTCAAGTGGATGTATGCTTCTCCTGGTGTCATTTTGAGTTCTGTCACAAGTCGATCGATCTTGTTAATGACGAGCAGGGGCTTTAGTTCCTCTGTCCATGTTTGACGAAGAACAGTGACTGTTTGACTGCAGACTCCCTCGACAGCATCAACAAGAACAACAGCTCCGTCACACAACCTTGAGGCTGTTGAGACTTCTGAGCTGAAATCGATATGACCAGGTGAATCGATCAGGTTGACGAGGTACTCCTTGTCCTCGGGCTCAGCATCGGGGGCTGCTTTCCGACGCATGGCGAAGTAGAGTGAGATGGCTGATGACTCCATTGTGATTCCTCGGACCTGTTCATCAGGTCTAGAGTCAAGATATCGGATCTTGCCCGCCAGCTTTGGTGAGATGATGCCATTTGTGGCAAGGAGGGCATCCGTAAGTGAAGTTTTGCCATGGTCAACGTGGGCCAAAATGCAAATCTGTAAGACGTTAGACTATGTAATCTCCTGTTGATGAGACTGTACTGACATTTCGAATATCGCTGGACTGTCTTTGCAGACTTGCCAGCTTATCTGGAGTGACGACAGGCATTATGACGACAGTGATTTGAGTAGGGTAGGTTGAAGTGATAGTGGGGGTCAAAATGGAGGCCGTCTGAGATGTCAAGTAAAATTTCTAAATATGGGGAGAAAGAATCTGCTGTAACAGCAAGGCAGTAGTTCCTAAAGCCTCTAATTTCAGTCTTCCGCACCCAAACTTATATCGATCTTTGTAGGTAGTTGTTTGAGTAATACTTTGCCTGGCCGCTTCTCCTAGTGTGACTAATCTAATCCTTAACTGCACACGATGGTCAGCAAATTTTAGACTTCATCAGGCACTTTTGGCTCAGTATTTTTGCAAATCGACTAAGAATGACTCATACCAGTACATACGCAAAGAGTCTGAGACACCAAAAAAATCAAGGTAAACCATTTTGTCCAGCAAAAGCTGCTACACCTCGAAAGGCTGAATTCTCAAGCTCACCTCACGAGCTGAAGCACCCCACTAAATCCGAATGACTAAGCATTGACCCCGCGCAAACCAAACGGAAGCCCTACCACCACAAAAATTGCATCGAAAATTTCCCCCCTCACCGCGACGACGAGACGAGACGAGCGAGACCGACGCGCGACTCGACTCTACAAGACACGATGGCTACTTACCAAAACGGCGTGGCTCCGGCCCGTGCCATCGATGACGACAGCGATGTCGAGGAGGAGGCTCTGGTGGCCGAGTACAAGGAGCACGTTCAGTATGAGGATGGTGATGATCTCAGCCGCACCACTTCTTTGAACCTCACCGCGCAGACCGACGATATCCAGGCTCGACTTGTGCAGGCCGCCCAGCCTCTCGATTTCCAGGCGCCTCTCGAGGCCAAGTTCCAGAGCTACGATGCTTACTGCAGCTTGTTTCATTTTATCTTGAACTCCGAGGGCCCCGTCGATCTCGAGCCCCCTTCTGTTGGTCTCACCAAGTTAGATGTTGAGTTTGGACAGGGCTAATAAAATTTTCTGCAGTACTACTGGGCTTGGGATGTTATCGATGAGTTCATTTACCAGTTCAACTCTTTCTCCTCGTACCGTATGCGAATTGCCCGGCAAACAACCAACGAGGAGGAGCGCCAGGCTCTCCGCGAGAACCCCAACACCTGGGGCTGCTACAGTGTTCTCAACGTCCTGTACTCCCTCATTCAGCGATCCCAGATCACCGAGCAGCTCGCAGCCATGAAGCGTAACGAGGATCCTCTGGCCGTTGCCGGTGAATATGGTTCAAAGAATCTCTATAAGATGTTGGGTTACTTCTCCATTATTGGTCTTCTCCGAGTTCACTGTCTCCTCGGAGATTTCAGCCTGGCTCTCAAGACCCTTGATGATATCGAGCTCAACAAGAAGGCCATGTTCGCCCGCGTCATGGCTGCTCACTTCACCACCTACTACTACGTGGGTTTCTCCTACATGATGCAGCACCGCTACGCCGATGCCATCCGCATGTTCAGCCACATCCTCATCTACGTCTCGAGGACCAAGAACTTCCAGAAGAGCGCTCAGTACGACTCTATCACTAAGAAGAACGAGCAGATGTACGCTCTTATTGCCATCTGCGTCGCTTTCCAGCCCACTCGTCTGGACGACACCATCCACAGCGCCCTCCGTGAGAAGTATGGCGATCAGCTCCTCAAGCTCCAGCGCGGTGGCCCCGAGTCCCTCCCCATCTTCGAGGAGCTCTTCCGCGCAGCGTGCCCCAAGTTCATCTCCCCCGTTCCTCCGGACTTTGAGAACCCCGAGGCCAACATCGACCCCGTTGAGCACCACCTCGCCGTCTTCATGGACGAGGTCAAGACCAACATGTGGAGCCCCACCATCAAGTCTTACCTCCGCCTCTACACCACCATGGATCTTAACAAGCTCGCTGGTTTCCTTGAGGTGAAGCCCGAGGAGCTTCGATCATGGCTCCTGGTTACCAAGCAGCGAACTAAGCAATTGCGATGGCAGGACCAGGGTCTGCTTGAGGGTGAGCTCGTCAACGTCAGCGACCTTGACTATGCTCTCCAAGGCGTAAGTTTCATGGCCCAATCCAGTATATCAACGCAAACTAACAGTTCTACAGGACCTCATTCACATCTCTGAGGCTAAGGTGGGACGAAAGCTTGTGGACTGGTATCTCCGAAACCTGTCCCGCACCTATAACTGAGGTGCTATAGGGAGAACTGACTAGTCGTTTTTCTCACATTTCATGGGGTCTTCGATTCAAGCCAAAAACAAGCGCATAGAGCGCTGTGGTTGAATCCTCCAAACGACCCAGGGTCAGGAGAATACCTGGGGTTATGCAGGCCGACTTGATAGGATGCATGGCATGGCAAAGGCGTCTTGGAGTTGGTGATGCTCGTGCAAGAGCTTGAGAATTTCTCAAGTTTAGCTGTATGTGCGGCAGAGATATGGTACTTTCCCCTAGAGGTACGAGAGCCTGTGAAAAGGCTATGAAGAATAAAAGGAATCAAAAGTCGTTTAATCAAATATCATGATCCTAAAAGTCTACATCACCATTATGAATTATGTCAGCTCTGGAAACCGGTTCTTGTACAGGCTTCCCAGTACCATTTGCATCGAGTTCCCCGTACAACTGAGAATAAGTTTGATACGAATCGTTGGTTGTTGCACACCTAACCATAACATGGAAACCACAATTGGGTTTATTTGTGGGAATCTGGCCTTGAAATATGTTCGAGGAACCCTGATAGTGCGAAGATCATATGATGGTCCACGACGAAATTGAGTAACCGGTTACAAAACCTGAAAAGCCGATCAAGCCACTACCCTCGAGGAATGGCGAAGGTTTGAAGCATAGTCACATAACGTCCTCTGTTGTTTTGGGGCTTGTGAGATACAGTTCCTCAAGTTCAACACAACATTGGTGATGGGCTTTGTGTACCTTGCTCTAGCCACTCAGATCACTCTGTAATGCCTTATCACTCAAAGGTCTTTGCATTAATACGACATTGGAATATTTGGGGAAAGCAAATTATATATCTATATTACTTATGCTTTGACGCCAGCCCCAGAGTTGTGCCACTTAGAGTGATATGCCAAAACAATCCTCATTTCGTAAGTACCTAATCTGGTTGACAAATACCTTAGCTAACAGATATTCCGTTATTCTTGGCTCAATTTTTTGACTGCGTAAAGTGTAGCTCACTGATAGGCAGAAGCTATACGAAATGCTTCCCTCTCGGGGCTGTAAGGTTCGGTCATCAGCTAGTATCGGACGGAAGGAGGCACACTTGGATTCATTGATGAGGACTGTTGAATAAGCGGCATAATCAATTAGCGCGGCATGGGCCAGAAAAAGGATTCAAGGTTGTGTTGCGACGAGGACAGTCCTTCAAGTTTTGAGGCCTGGCGTGTTGGCGATTGTAGGCTTGGTGAACTAACGGTTATACGACTTTTAGTTTTCGTGGATACTCATTACCCGTATGTACGGAATCTGTTACGCTCTGGGAGACCAAGAAATGCCAACTAAGCCTCCTATTGTAATATGTACATTTCGAGAAACACTTTGTAGTAAGTTCTACGAAATGTTGGGGGCAAGTTTGCTCTGGAATAGAATTGATGATGACACTCCTCAGTCTGCCGCCTGATGCCTATAATGTTTTAGCGCGTCCATGTATGCTCGCTGGATGAAGTCTCGAGGCGTTCAAGATGTATCTCGGCATTTGTGTTCCCGAGTCTGTGGCACTTGGTGCATTGGCTCGTGATTCCCAGAGCCTAGGTTAGTTCAGCTGGCAAAAGCAATGAGACATTGTGTTCTCGTGGCTGATGAAGATAGCTTCACCGCCGTCCTTAACGACATATACGTGGTCGAGTCAGACCATGTCACCATGATGGTGCACAGGAGAGCTTCCGAAATTCCGGTTCTTTGGTAGCCCTAGTGTGGAGAGGCACCAGTATCCGCAAGGTGCTCTGCCATTTCCATGCTCTGTCGGAGAATGGCAGGGCTGATGGATTATTTGGCTTTGACAGCTGAAAGAACAGGGGATCCTCATGTGGTCTCGATAATGAAATTCACTGGCTGAGACGTTGTGCTTGATAGTGGCTCAATAATTAATCTGGTGCAACGAAACGATGCGGTGAAGAGTTGCACGAAGGAAAGACGAGTAACGAGCTGACTGCTCCTCGCTTGAGGTTCCCTGCATAAGATAACTGTCTGTTGTCCGCCTAGTGAGAAATTCTTGGTATTGATCCATAGTAAAAACCGTTTGGTTAGTGCTGTCGAAGCTGATTCGGCTCGTCGTATGGGAGGCATGATGGATCTCAATTCATCTGCAGAGGCTCTGTCCTGACCCTCAGGGGACAAGAAAACATCAGACCTTTATGTATGATGTCAAAATAAACTCAGCAAAAGTCGTCATAAGCTTGGGCTATATTGCCTAAATCCTTTTGTCACTCAGGATCAAGGTCCTGGGGTTTCTTTCTTCCCCTAGCCTGAGTCGGCTCGGCCCCACCATTAGCGTGCGTGTCTCTCCACTGAAGCCCGAGCGTGAGATGACTCCGCCCGGGGGCAGCGGGATGAGAGGAGAGCTTCCTGTACCGAATCGTGCCCAAAGAACCGGTTCCGACGCCGCCATGGTACATATCATAGCACAAATACAGTTTGCTACGTGATACGCCTGTGCTCTTGGCGGTCACCGGTGGGAGTCACACTCGGGACATTGTTGCCGGGGCCAAGACATTGACACTTTACCTGAAATCTGTGCTGCCTTCTATTGCTGTTTATCTTGAGCTTCACTTCCTTCACAACAAGAAGATCATTGTGTGTTTTTGGCTGCCCAAGCAAACAAGGTGGCATTAGTGAGGGGAAGACGGCCAAACTAAGCGCCCCTTATTAAGTGGATATCTATTCGCCGGTAAGCTGTCCTACTTGCTGGAGTGGCATCAAAGAGTGTTGAAAGGGTTTCCATGTGATCAAAAACTCCCAGGGATCATAATACCTAGCGTTGTGTTGTGTTGTGTTGAGTTGAGTTGTGCTGCTTACCCGGCCTGGCCAGCCTGGGGCCAGTATCAGTGTGAGTGGGCTTGTGGCCAGTCTCCTTGCTCGCGTGTCGTTCATTTCCTCTTCTTCTCTGGATAAATTCAAAGAGGCCTCTGGTCTCTCTGTTATCTCTGTGTCTGTGTTGCAGAAATGATAGAGACCCTGCCCGTGGTTCATCCTGGTCAGCCAATGGTTCAGCCCAGTCAACACATGCTTTCTCGCATGCAAATCGAGCTGTGTCTTGGCCTGCAGTTATTGTCACACCCGACACACAGTAATCCATCCAATCCCTGGAGAGCGGCACTGCAACGGCTTACAGTACTTTGGCGCATTTACGTCAGCTGTACGATTTGCACTTTCGCTATCATCAACCTTGTTTTCACCTCAAGTCTCTTTTTATTAGCTGTTGGTGATCTCTGCAGATTCACGCCATCCTAACCCTTGGACGTGTTTTCCGACGCACGTTCTCACGCAGCTTCTGTAATATATCATAAATTCAAATCTCGGCTGATAATAATACGTACATCACTCCTGTTGACGACGTTGCTGCCCAGTTTAATTTCAACCCTCCCAGACCTTTTCGGGCCTACACCCAGTCAGTCCTGACGTGGACCAAGGGCCGATCCGTTCGGCACCGTCCCTCATTCCATCCCATCCATCTCTTTTTTGGCCTCCTCACGTTGTCTCCCTCGTTTAATGTGACCAAGCCCATATTATCCAGCTACCGACCTCCTCGCTAACTTGGGTACTGTACCGTATCATGACATCTCTCTCTGCCTAAGGAAACAATAGTGAGAACTACGGATACCTAGACCTCCCACTCTCCCACCCACCCGTCTTTGGTCTTGGTTTTTTCCAAACCTAAAAACCAACCTGAAAACGTGGTCTCGTCGTTCCCTGGCAATAACCTTAAAATCTTATTGTTTTGGGCTGAATCTCGGCTGACCTATGCCTTGATTGTGGCTTCATCTCTTTCACCACAAACTGATTGCAAACAAAACGCAAACGCCCACACCGTCTTCTGACTTTACTCACTCGACCCTCTTACAAAGATCAAGAGTCTTTGCTCTGTGCTTTTATTTATTCGCTGTCCTCCACTGCCTTTCGTAATCTGCGGCCACTATCAGCTCCGCTTCCTCAGAAAGGCCCAGACTACAACACCACAGCCACCACCAACTTTCATCTCCGTTATTACGACCACTTGCCTTTCTTCTATATTCACAGCCACTCCGGTTCGGTCTATTGATGAATCAATTGTAGAGGTCATTCTCCACACTTTCTACCACCTATCGCCGCCAGATCTGATCGACCTCGGCGTCGCATCTTAGCTCGAGGTCCGCGTCTCAACTTGCGCCCGCATCTGTATCTCAACTTGAGCTCCCATCTTCCTTCTTGACTTCGGAACCGCGTCATTCAACGTCACAAACTTGACTCTCCTAAGCCCCACGCTTTCTTCAGCCGCGGTCACTCCCTCCTCCTTGTGATTTGGTGTTTCCCTAGATCAAGAGCCAAGCCAAGCTTACCTATCAACTAACTGGTTAGCCTCTCCGTCTTGGCGGCAGTTGCATCTTGGCAATACGCATACCCTTGGGGAGGAACTACCAAGATATTTGACTGAAGCTCAGCTCCGTGCAAGCTCAAGCTTTCTTTCCCTTCTCATCAACCGGAAACTCCTTACAGAACAAACTCTTTTGACCTTGACTTTTCATCGCCATTCGTCCATTTTATCCCGTCAAGCTTCATCATCGATAAACTTGATTATCGTTAGATCTTACACACATTCGTTCCGAGATATACACGATCATTATTGAACATATCGACCCGGCGCGAACGACAAGCTGAACTCAGTTTGCCACCAGATCGTGTCTTCCGTGACACAGTATCATAGGCAACATGGCAACAACCGCAACGAATCACCCAAACCCGCCCAAGCGTTCCGACTCCGATGTCTCCCCCAGAACAGTGAACCCTCCCAAGAACTCAGCTTCAGAAGACGCAAAGGCGGATTACTTCCCAGATTCCAACACAGTCGATGGATCCAATACTAGTGTTCGGGCCAGCGATGGTGACGATTCATCTGCTCGGAAGTCAAGCATCTCATTCGCACCAGATCCTCGACGTAGCTCAAGCTGTGAAAGCAACCAAAATGCAGCTTCAGCGCCAGGCCAGGACTCGTCGATCCAAAGGAAATCGTCCACCGGCTCTGTCTCTTTTCGTAGAATGACAAACCCTCAACTTCCCCAAGGAAATCCTCAACAGATGAGCAACAGTCGCATACGTGCGAGCTCACCGGACCACTCAAGGTATGTAGCAACTTTATTTATCCTTTCCTCTTCCCGTTGCACAAATTTTTGCTGTGATCGAATGCCAATGTCCTCAACCCAATACTGGATTGTACTTGCAATCTTCTATCGGCCTGACCAAACCTGACACACGGTACGGCAATATGTAAACTGCCAAAAGCCTTCATGTGGATCGCCGTGGTGCAAACTGGAATTTCTCGTTTTTGTTTTGGAAGAATCTTTATTTCTCCAACGGATTTCAGTCTGCGTACTGCACACCAACATCGGCGAAAAAGGGTTCAAATTGGCCCGGCTGGAAACCTATGTGACGCCATGCCAAGCAACATGTCGCGTGGACTGTGTGTTACCATCGAAATCATCAATTCGGTCCACATGGGTCAGCCAGTTCTACCCAGGTCGAATACGAGCATTGCGGTAGCGGCATGGACTGTTTAAACACCCATCGTGAAGACAACTCACTGCGGAGGTGTATTGATGGAATCTGCTCGGACTTTGGGTGGAACTGGGTCGCTTGGCTGGAACATTCCTCGCAATAACCTTTCGACTCCACCACTGGCCTCCCACTATCAATTATGGTTACCCCGCCGTTTGCGACAAAGCTTCCAGTAGACGTGGGGAAATGCTCTTCGCCTATGATTACCTGCTCGTTTGGTCTGGATCGTCAGGCCATCATCCTTCATCACAGCCACTGACAAGTCGTCAGCCCCCAAATTCCCGCAGAACTCTCCTCTTGCCGTCGACATAGTCGTCATTGACAATTCTTAACCTTCATCCCCATTATCACTTCCCCGCGCATCCTACAATTGCCTCAAAACCATCGTTATTCTCAGTCTCCATTTTGTGGTATTTTCACGACAATGTCGACGCTAACCGAGACCCCGTCCGATAGGTTTAAGAAGCATGTCGCATTTGACAATGTTACAACTGGCGAACCGACTAAGAACAATGCTATCTCATTTACGCTCAATGTTCGACACAAGGGTTACCAGGCTAGGCGTAGATCGCGGTGTTTCATGGTTGGTGTTGACGAGCATACCTACTCCGATTATGCGTTGCAGTGGCTGCTTGACGAACTGGTCGATGACGGCGACGACGTCGTTTGCGTGCGAGTAGTCGACAAAGAACTGCGACTTACGGACAAGCAGTACAGGGACGATGCAGACTCGGTTATGAAGGGAATCGTTGCTCGGAATGGTAATAACAGAGCCATCAACATTGTCCTTGAATATGCTGTGGGCAAGTTACACACGACTTTTCAAGTCCTAGTACGTGAACAGAGAAGACACCTCTGCCAAATTCTCGTGCTGACAAAATGACAGATCCAAATGTACCAGCCTGCGATGCTCATTGTGGGAACTAGAGGACGCACCCTCGGTGGCCTTCAAGGCCTGGTCAACACCCGCAACTCGTTTTCCAAATACTGTCTCCAATATTCACCTGTCCCAGTGGTTGTGGTTCGACCTACCGAGAAGCGCATCAAAAAGAAGGCCAAACGTGCCAATGACTCTGCCCGACAGACCTACGTGAGCATGTTGGCTGCAAACGCCGGGAAACATGAGGCCGATAGCGAGGCAAGTAGCACCTATGAGCTTGAGGTCCATAACTCGCCCGATGAAGAAGCGCACCAAGTCGCACGTGCTTTAGGATTGCCTGCATCTTTCGATCCTACGATCAAGCCCCTCAACCATAGCCAGATACCGAGTCGCAGGTCCCCCGACCCTACTGCTACTGCGGGCCCTGTCAATGAGTCCTCGGAGAACCAGAGAATCACGAAAGACGATGTCAGTGTCGCCGCTGAGAGTGATGACGATGACGATGATGACGATGACTCTGGAGAGTTCGAAGTTATGAGCGGGCAACAAGCTTTGGACAGGCAGAAGATGGATCAGCTTCATAAGATGGAGGTCGGTGAGGCAGCAGCGCTCAAGATGAAGGTGGACGAGGAACTCGACGAAGAAGACGATACCCCCTCAGGCCCGAAAGCCACATCATAGAAGATGAAGGGCAAGCAGAAACAAGGAACAGACGATATCAAGGATGAGAATAGCACGGGAGATGAAGTTGCCGAAAGTAACGACAAATCCTCTCAGGAGAATAACCAGCTTCCTCAAGTTGCTCAGCCAGATTCAGAAGCAAAAGGAGGTCTCTCATCTCTGGGAGCAGAGGACGACACGACCGAACTGCAACATCTGGATGATTTACAAAAGTGAATAGCCATCTCTGATATGGGGTTTCAATTATCGCGTGGAGCTTGTTAGGAAACAGCGCTCCAAAAGCATGGGGTTTCGATAGATTATCGGATCCAAGACAAGGATCCCAAAGTTCCCAGCAATTCAAAAATTGAGGACAATGAGGGACCTTCTAGTCTACCCTTCGAAAAGCCAGGTGCCGCTTCGAAGACTCTACAGGTACCTTCAGGCCGCCAGATTTGTACGTCGTCCACAGAAGACCAAGCATCAAGTACCCGAGTCAGAAGCCCATCTACCGGGTCGCAGGAGTCGGAGGGTTACAGATCTCAAGTGAGCATGGAATTTCCTCCGACTCCGGATGGAATTTCAAGTGGAGACTCTGGAGAAGAGGGCCAGCATAATAGCGATAGCGATAGTGATGGCGATAGTGATGGCGAAAGTGATGGCGACGGCGACGGCGACGGTGACGGCGATGTGATGGCGATGGCGATGGCGATAGTGATGGTGATGGAGATGGTGATGGAGATGGTGATAGCGATGGCGACAGTGGTAACAACAACAACGAAGAGATAACGAACCACCCAACGTGGCAGAAGCGAGGACCCGTCCCAGCAGGTTGTTATTGTGGGCAAGTCGCTTCAGAAGTTGCTGCGGGCATGCATATGTCCATGCTAGGCCTACGGTCTGACAAGATGATAAGTGCAGTGGTGATTATCCGGTGGCTCTCGTAGAATTTAACAGCGCTTCGAAATGAGATTACACAGCGATAGACTGGTTTCAGTTCTTAGCTATCTGATACGTATTAGGGTTGAAATTCATATGAAGTTTGGGACATCATAAGTAATGGCCGTGCGCCGAGGTTGGTGATTCAGATACTATGTAGATATGCATGTACGTGCGTCTAATGTATCCGTACTATACCTTAGTAATGCAGGTCTGTCGCATGTCATGCCATGCCTTGCCATGCCATGATGGCTGCATGCAAGGACCCTTGATCAGGCATAAGGATGTGTAACCTGAGGCATCAATACGTCACTCATGTACTGTACTGTTATATGAGGTGTGCGACCAACCCAAGGTGCAGGGAAACGAGTGCGACGACGTAAGCCACCATTTCTCAGGTTCTAGACCCAGGGGCTAATTCCATATGTAGAGTCTAGGTAACAAACAATCCTCGACTTGAAAACCGAAATGCTGTACAACGGCTGAAAGCAACTGTACATACTTACTTGTTGATTGAATTCAGTTAGGCAAGGTTGTCAAGGAAAAAGCCAAAAGGACCCTGGGAGTGACGTTGCGCGGCATCTCTTTTTTGATACGACGGGAGTTGTCGCAACGGCGCTACGAGGGGCTCAAGCTCAAGGGATAACTTGAGTTACTGGCAACGTTTCAGTCTATTTCAGTTAGATAGGTACCGAGTCTCCCCTCCTCTGATGATACTGGTACAAACTCAAGGGAGGATTTACTGCGCCGCCGCCAAACCCCGATTCAAATAACTACCTGAGGCTAAGGGACTCTGACATTCCTACGACCTGCGAGCAAAGAACGAACGATATACTCCTCTGGCCCCGCGCCAAACATTGATGATCGTCACCACGACTCACACTGCTTCGATAACGATATAAATTCAAATTCAACTTCAAATTCCACAAAGAATGTGGCCCTTTACTCGCTGCGGCGAAGACGCCTGCGAAATCCAACCCCGCCCTGTCACGCTCGCCTCGTCCATCGCCGCCGTCCCGTTCCTCCTCATCTGCATCTCGACATCAATCCTCGTCGTTCGACATGTCTTTCCCCGTCTGAGCAGCGATGCCGATTCTCGCGACGGCGAAGATCACGTCCTGCCTACACATGCACCAGCGTGTCTGCGACAAGTTCACGCTGAACATGGTGCCAAGAGCTGGAGACGGCGCGGCGCAGCCTGGACGTTTGGTCTTACTGTGGGATTGGCTGCTACATTGGGCGCGCTGATCATGGACGAAATCATCGAGGTTGTCAACACCGACTCGAGAAATTTGGCTTTGAGAGTAACGGTGCCAAGCTTGCTGTTCCTGCTGGTCGTGTTGGTGCCCTGGCTGGAGTGTCGATCGGTTGTTTCGAGTGCTGGATGGAGTTTTCAGAGAACCGCCAAGGGAAAGCTTCCTCGGGTCGCTTGGGGATTACAAACTGCTCTGTTTATGGGATGGTTGTTCGCCTTCTGGTCCGTTGGCCAGGCTGTTCCCGAGGGCGCGATGCGCAGGACGAGCGTTGGGAGTGGAAGCCTCTCCGAGATGTTGACGCGCGGATGCCTGGAACGTATTGGTGTCGTCGGTATCTCACTGATGGCTTTACTGTCTGGCTTCGCTGCTGTGTCTTCACCGTGGCAGGCATTCATGGATCTTACAACCCGTCGCAAACGACCCGTCACAGATGCTGATGTAGCGAGAAAGCAAGCTGGGCTGGATACTGCCAACGAAATGCTTCTTACCAAGCGTCATCGCTTGCAGTATCTCGAACGCAAGACATCCGGTCCTCAGAATGGAGCCTCTGCCAAGGGTAGTGGCCTTGTTGGCAAAGTCATGGGTTCCCTACGTGGTCCAACTGGCGATGAGGCAGAGATGCGATCGCTGCGCCTGGAAATTGCTGGTCTCGAGACGATGGAAGCCAACCTGGCTTCAGGAGTTTCTCTACTCAAGAATCACCGGGCTGCTACAGTTCGCGCTTCAACATCCATTGGACGTATTCTTCTCATTCCCTCGCAGCTTTTCAGCTTGTACTGTGTGTACCGCATTGGCGCAACTACAATCACAACTATTCGGCGAGCATATTCACCCACATCTAGTTTCGCCAACACGGATCCCATCAACCGCTTTCTTAGTATTCTTGCGCGTCATTGGGATCCCAAGTTGGATCAACTAGCATGGGCACGCCTTATCAGCTTTGCTCTCAGCGGTGTCATTCTCCTCGCCAGCGCCAACAGTGTGGTCCAGACGTTCCACCTGTTTGCTAAATGGACCCCAGGCCTGCTCCGCCAGGCGCAAGCGAATCTGGCGCTGGTCGTGGGACAGATCGCTGCGACCTATGTCATCTCAGCTTCACTTCTCCTCCGCAGTCAATTGCCATCTGCCTTGGGCTCGGCAGTCGGAAGTGTGTTGCGAGGTGCCTTGAGTCCCGCATTTGTGGATGGTTGGTTTGAGGGTTGGTTCCTAGTAGGCAGCCTTATAACAGCCATTGGTATATGGATAGGCAGAAAACTCGGAGGTGATGACGAGTGGGATGAGTACGGCATGGAAGAGATGGGCGCCAAAATGTCGTAGGTGCCTTGGTAAGGTGAGGGTGGTTCGTTTCTATGCTTTTTGAGGTTCGGGTTAGCACGCAAGCATTCTTTTTAATAAGCGAAGCGGGTGGATGTCCTGTACGATACGATTGACTGAGTGATACATGTCTGGGTTGGCGTTTGGGGGGCTCTTGAGAGATGAGAGGCATTGATGCATAGAGTACAATTTGGGTATATCACAGGGATTAGGACTATACCTCCTGAGAAAGGATACAGTACAGGTAGAAGAATGTGATTTATGCGGTGATATGCAGTAGCCTCAGTAGTTGGATGCCGGGTTGTCTCACGAGTGTTAGCTGTAAGACGAGGTTGACTCACACATCTACCGAACGCTACGGGCACAATTGCAAGTGACTTTGGAGGATACAAAGTGCCCAAGAGCCAATCTCCTCTATAGTACTTCTACGCAGAATTTGCTTTACTATCACATGCTCTGTTCACACTTAAGAAGTGTCCAGTGCTTAACAATTAATACATGCGCGGTATTTCTTTCCCAACCAATCATCTTCAACTCGCAGCCTAAACCAGGTATCAATTATCAAACATATAAAATCTTCAAGACTATAAATACCACAACCAGGACAAGGTCAACATATCTCACCAACCCTCACAATGCCGACCTCACCTTCACCATCACTATCCTACACACAACCCGCATCTCTCGAGGCCTTCGCCTCTACTCCAGATGTCTTCCGAGCTGCCCATCCCCCAATCGAGCACCTCATAGCTGGCGCCCTAGTCACCAACCCTCAAGGCCAAGTCCTTCTTCTTCGACGTGCAGCTCACGACTCCTGGCCTCTATTATGGGAAGTCCCCGGTGGTTGTGTCGATGACTCAGACCGTGGCCTCGTTGCCGCAGCAGTGCGTGAACTCTGGGAAGAAGCTGGACTGCGCGCAAAGGCCGTAAAAGCCGTGGTAGGAATTGCACCTAGCACAGAGCCGATGCCTGATGATCCTCTAGAGAAGGACTTGGAGGTTCTGTATGACATGCTTGTGTTTCGTGCAGATGATGGAGTCTGGGGAAAGTTGACGGTCTGGGTCGAGGTGGAGAGCTGTGACGAGGTCAAGATCGATGAGAATGAACATGTCGAGTTTGCGTGGGTGACAGAGGAAGAAGCACTGCAGAACAAGTTCAAGGATGGCAACAAGTTGGAGTTTGTGAGCGAGGGAGTAAAGAGGAACGTCCTCGAAGGCTTCAGACTGTGGAAAGAGGAGAACGAGGCAAGCAAATGAGCCAAGGTGGTCAGCAACAAGAATCATCAGCGGTGATGATATAAAACAGCATGAGAGGAGACTTCATGCGCTCATTACTCGTCTATAGTCACACACACATTCCTCACCCCTTTCTAAAAGCATCAAGAACAAACACCGAGACCTCGTTGAGAAACCAGGAAGACACACAAAAGACAACACACCACACCGATCGGAGATGAATAAATAACAGGACATTTCATTGATCCCATGAACCGCCTAGCATACAGATCCGAGTTCATATCGTAAGAGTCGACGTCTCATCATCTTTGCCGAGTCTAGAGAAAACGAACTGCCTATAGTAGCCTTGCCTCATTGTTCGTTCAGCCAAAGCAAGTAAACTTTTTCAGTCCCTCTCCTGCTTTTCAACCTCTCCCTCACATTCATCAATCAAGGAAGTCAACATGCGGCCTAGACGTTTTTGGGGGAAATCAAAAAGAGTAAAAAAACAAAAAGGGAAACATAAAGAGATAAAAAAAAAAAAGAGCTGTGATCATTCAAATGCATGCCACGTTTCAGTCCATTCATCCATCCGTTCATCCATCCATCCATCCATTCGCCGCCATTCTTTTGCTTTTGTCTCGAAACGCCAAAGGTCAAATGCTCAAAAATGCCCTCTCCAAACCCCCTGAACGAGTGAAGCGGGTGTCGAGGTTGATCATGAGTAAGTCCAACGTGTGGCGGTCAGACGAGGAAAACAGGATGCCGTGGTCGATTAGAACCGGCGGAGAGATTTCAATTCCATGCCCTGAGCAACCTGTGATACTAGATTGTCGAGGATAACGAAAAGAGCAGGCAGCAAGTTTCGAACCAGCCTTGTTTAGAACCAGCTTCAAAACCATCGCTTGCAATCGAGTGCAAAATGGGTGTCATTTACGAGAAAATAGCAAAGTCCAAGATGATCACTACTCTTATCTACGAGCTAGGTGACTCGCATCTTGTAACAGGCATTCTCAGTCGTCAAACCATAGAGAAACGAGGCGATTGGTACACATTCTAGGGTGCCATCGCACGTCCCTGGCGACCTTTCTTGTTGGGCACTGTAGTCCAACCGTCGTCGTCAGCTGTGGGTGTAGCAGGCTCGGCATCAGTAGACGCGGGTTGTTGAGCAGCCGATCCGTTGGAGCGGAGAGGTCCAGCTCGTGCCTCCCGAATGCCGCCACGGCCACCGCGACCGCCTCGAGGTCCAGCTCCTCCACGAGGTCCTCGCTGGTCGTTCGAGGCAGAGCGCCAGCTTGAAGCTTCGGTTGCTCTTGACTTGGGAGCACCCTCTCGGGGTTCGCGGTTTCGGATAGGAACCTTTTGTTCGCCATTGGCGCCCTCAGCAGCTTCAGCCTTGGGTTCTGTTGCCTCAGGGGTGGCCTCAGCGGCCTCTTTCGCCTCGGCAGCTTCGGCAGCTTCGGCAGCTTGCTTGGCTTCAGCGGCTTCAGCAGCCTCAGCCTCAGCCTTGGCAGCAGCCTCCTTTGCCAATTTTCGCTCCTCCTTGGCCTTCTCATCGGCCTCCTTCTTCTCTTGAATAGCCTGCAGGCGCTTGACCTCAATCTCCTTCTCCCTTGCTGCGGTATCGATAGGACGAGCGGCGCCGAAGGGGCTGGCCTTAGCATCAGAGCCTTGGGATGCTGATGAAGCATCGGGGGCCTCGGAGACGGTTCGCTTCTGGAGGTTCAAGCGAGGACGACCGCCTTGGGCAGGTGCGGCGTTAGAAAGGGCGGGAGATGGGGGTGCGCTACCATCGGGGGAGGCAGCCTTAGCAGCATCGGGGCGCATTCTCTCGCGCCACTGCATGTCCTTCTCAGCAGCAGTGGCAGTTCGCTCAGGTCGCTCAGGGCGTTCAGGACGAGGACGAGAACCACCTTCGCGAGCCTCGCCCCAAGCAGGAGAGTCCCGGCGGTTTCCTCGGTAAGACTCACTACGGTCACCAAGCACATCGGGAGAAGCACGGGGGCGGCTTCCGTCTCGGGATCCGGAACCCTCTTGAGGAGAGAGAGGAGCCAGGGGTCCATGTCGCTCCCAAGTGAACTCACGTTGGGGACGAGACTCGAAAGCAGGATCACGAGGTCGTCGCTCACGGTCACCGAAATCACGAGCACCACCCCTTGAAGGGGCATCGGGCAGAGGTCCCTTGCGGTCCCAGTTACCCATCTCACGGATAGAGTCACCTCGGCCAGGATCACCGCCACGAGCTGGAACTGACTGTTAGATAAAGGCTGATTGTTCAGGGATATATGCAATCTTACGAGGATCGGCGACCTTGATCTTGATCATTCGGCCGTTAAAGTTCTCGCCATCAAAGGTAAGAGCCTTCTTGAGGCCATCCAGAGTCTCGAATTCGACATAACCGAAACCCTTGGGGCGCTGCAGCTCACGGTCCTCGATAAGGCGGACGTTGACGACACCGCAGTCAGCGAGATATTCACCCACGGCGTCGTTGGTAACATCGTAGGAAAGGTTGCCCAGGTGAGCGGTATAAGGAGGCTTGTCGGGAAGGGTTTGAGGGGCAGCTTCGCGAACGGAGAAACCTGCGCCAGTTAGTTTTGACAGCCAAATTACGGCGACATAAACACATACCCCGGTCCTGCCAGCTGGAAGCAGCGTTGTTGTTATACCGAGGGCGGTCGGAAGGGGGCAGAGCCTGAGTGCCTAAGAATGGTCAGTCCACCTGGGTCGAAAGCATCGTATGAAAGCGACAGGACATACCAGTGACTGGAAATGAGTTAGCGACGAGACACATATATAGATTTGAAGTGAAAGTGAGAGTGCTTACCGTAAGAGGTTTCCTCTACCTCATCAGCCCAAGATGAGCCTCCACCAAAACCTATAGGTCCGAGTCGTCAGTATGGGGTCAACGAGGGGCATCGCAGCCAAGTCTGCGGCGGGGTGCACAGGCGAGGGGCGGGACATACTGTCAGCCAGAAAGTCCCCAAGGGACATCTTCTGCTGTTCCTTCTTCTTAGGAGCTAGCGAGAGGTTAACATCTGCTTACAGGACATGCTAAGCTGTCATAGAGGGGTGCTCACCCATGATTGCGGTTAGGCGAACACGCGCAACGATTCTAGGACCGATGCGCGCACGAATGCAAAGGGCGAAGGCGACCGGGGTTTCAGCTTTCGCTTCAGAGAGGATAACGAGATCGGATCGCTTTGTAGCCGGGAACGGAAGAACCGAAGACCGGAATGTCGATTATTTCTGTCGAGAAACTTGCGTTGTAGAGTGTTGATGTGCCCCGACTAACGTTGCCGTGTCTGGGGTTGACGAGTTGAAATTTGCTCGGCGTATGAGAAAAAATGATGATGGAGGCGCCAGTTGAGGGTTGCCTTAATTTTCCAGTCCTGGTCTGAAGTGGGCGCTAGCCCTTTTTAGTGCGTGATCCACCAATCAACCCCTCCACTCGATTGATGTCTCGCTTGCATCTTCTGAGGAGCACCAGTAACAACAGCCCCTAAAAGACCCAGAAACCGTAGCTACGCTTTGAGGTGGTTCAAGCAGTTGATTTTGTTTAACAGCCCGAGCTTATGAGATCTCGGCCTGATATATCAAGCCGTAGAACGCAGTCCAGAAATTGTCTGGTCTCTTGCATAGGTACGGTATTTTATGTGGCATATACAATTAAATGCAATGGTAAAGATCAAGACGACTCATAATTTCCACACAGGGCCAACAAGTATTAATGGAATAGCCTTTCATTAATTGCCATTCCCCTCATGTCCTTACTAAATTGGATAATTCATT